GGGTTTTTGAGGGGAGGGAGGAGGGGGGATTGGTTAGTCCGGTGATGGGTATTAAGGAGGGCACGGACTGCATGGAGCACTGGGTGTTATACGAAAACAATGGATCATGGATCACTACATCAAAAACTAATGATGTATTGTATGGTGACTAACATAACATAATAAAATTAAAAAAAAAAGATATGGAAGCAACCCAAATGTCCATCAATGGATGAATAAAGAAATGATGTATATATACATATGTATATGAACAGAATATTATTTAGCCATAAAAAAGAATAAGATCTTGCCATTTGCAACAACATAGATGTACCTAGAGGGCATTACACTAAGTAAAATAAGTCAAATAAAGACAAATACCATATGATTTCATTTATATGTGGAATCTAAAAAACAAAACAAAACAGCAGAAACAGAGCCATAAACACAGAGAAAAACTGGTGGTTGCCGGAGAACAAGGGGTGGGGGGATGGGCAAAATGGGTGAAGGGCAATAGTAGGTAAAGGCTTCCAGTTATGGAATGAATAAGTCCAGGGATGAAAGGTACAGCATAGGGAATATAGTCGGTGGTATTATAATAGCATTGTATGGTGACAAGACAGTAGCTACACTTGTAGTGAGCATAGCATAAAATGTAGAGTTGTCAAATCCCTAGGTTGTGCACCTGAAACTAATGTAACATTGCAAGTTAACTGTACCTCAATTTTTGAAGGGCAAAAAAAAATTAAATTGTAAATAAAAAACAAAACAGCTAAAATGTATTAAGCACTGTGTACCAAGTTCTGTGCTATTAGCTTTTACCAACATTCTTTGAAGTGATCCTCTCACAACAATCTTATAAGGTAACTTAAAAGGCACATTTATTTTACAGATAAGACCTTTAAAGTGGTAGCCACAGGAGTATCTGGGTGGCTCAGTTGGTTAAGCGTCTGCTTTCAGTTTGGATCATGATCCCAGGGTCCTGGGATCAAGCCCTGCATTGGGCTCTCTGCTCAGTGGAGAGTCTGCTTCTCCCTCTCCCTCTGCAGCTCCCCCCACTTGTGCTCTCTCTCTCTAACAAATAAATAAAATATTTTTTAAAAATTTTAAAAAATAAAGTGGTATCCCCATTTTACAGATGAGGAAACTAATAAAATGTGTGCTACAAACATGAAACATGGCTTTGATACCTCAGTTTAAACCTTGAAAACGGGACGTGTTTTACGTCACTGAAAAGACAAGACATAAAATATCTGTAAACCATGGGAAAATCACCCCTACCCACTGAGCTAATGATTCATTAACTTAGTTTCAACTGGAGTTAGGATTTTGGGTTGTCCTCACTCTCTCCAAATTCAGTTTTCCTTGGGATCAACTCTGATGATTATTGAATAGCTTGCATTTTTTAGTATCCCCTCTACTTTTGAACTTCAGCTCCTTGCTACTAACAGACTATTTCCTCTAATTCTGAGTACTGATATGCCCTCCGGGTTTAAGACTTGGGGTGGGGAGGAGGGGTTGCCTGTACAATTGGGTCCTCAGTTTTCTTTGAAGCAGAAGCGAACTGCCCAGAGACTGTCTCTATCCTTGCACTCCCTTTAGCCATGCAAACCTCTTTCTGAATGCTGCAATTGAGCTTCTGGTAAAGCATAGCGCAGCTGACATCTTGTGGGCATAAAAATAATTACACCATTCCACCTGGATTCCAAGATTCTCAAGTTGGCTATATTCTCCAGAACACAATAAGCTAGGATCCCTTCCTCAACCTCGGGCACTTCATCTTTAAAGCAAAAGCCAGGTCTATGCAAAATTCTTAAATTTCCTCTGAAGTTTCATTTAGTCTTCTTTCATTGTGTTACAAGATATTTTTTAATGCAAGTCTTCATAAAATACAAAAAACTTAAGTTCTATCCCTCAGCATCTTTGCATATCTCCCTATATGTATTTGAAGATAATAAGGGGTAAGCATTCAACACATATTTACTAGGTGCTTACCATGTCCCAAGCAATATGCTAGAATTGGGATAGAAACATGATATAAGATGTGGATCCAAATCTCTGAATTCAATGCATATGAACCCATTCATCTTAAATAAGTACATTACACAGTCATGAATTACTAATTCATTTATGTCACTCTCAATTTCTTTTTCCCAATATCATCTGGGCCACCTAGCAGTGTTATTGTATTAATGAAACACATGTAGTATAATTACTAAAAAACCATATGGTACATGCCATATTTTCCTGTAAGCTCCTGGCTGTTGTGATTTTCCCAACCTCCTTGATACACCTAAACATCATTCTCTTTCCAAATTAATTTCCTTCTCTCTCTTCTCTGGTGAGAGTACTAATTTTTTAAATTTTTTAAATATATAGGATATAAATTATAAATATAAATATAAATATTTTAGAGGGAGAGGTAGAGGGGGATGAGGTACAGAGAGAAAGAAGGAGAGAATTTTATTTATTTAATTAATTTAATCTCACAATCCCGAGATCATGACCTGAGCTGAAATCAAGAGTCAGACACTTAACTGAGCCACGCAGGCGCCCAGTTTTTTAAATATTTTACTTTTTCCTTACATAAAAAGAATAAAGGTGTAATAAAAATAACAGTGATTTTCAAGCACAAAGGTCTGGGTTCAAATTCTGACAGTGGTACTATGCACCACCAATGACAGTACTTTATGTCCCTGCCTCTAGGTTCTGTCACCTATAAAAAGGGAGTATAGCAAAGCCAAACTCAGTGTCTTTATGAGGATTACACTTAATAGATCTGTAAGACTACAATAGACCTACTATAAAGTAGGCACAAAATTAACAGAAATTCCCCCTTTTCTATTATTTCTTCACAATTTTAGCCCTTTATTGCAACAAAATTCTCACTGGTCATTACAGAGGCTTATGTAACATGGCAAACTCTACTTTTCAATGAGAAAAGCATATCACATAATGTAGAAAAAGTATACTGTACATAGAGGTTAAGTCTTCATCTGGTGAAATAAATAACAACTTATAATTGTTTATGGATTTATAACTCATGTTAAACTGAAACCAGAGGTATTTTTTATGTAATTAGTTACCTTTAGTTACTCAATACCAAATTTGTTGTTTTAGCACCTCCATTTGTGGCTCCAAAAAACATTAATTGTTCTACTTTAGGTCCATTCCAGACAAGAGACATAGATTTCAATGTTTTATAAGACTTGTTTCTATACCATCAATATAGTCTGTGATATAGTCATGAAGTGGGAGGAATCTTAAAAGGTTCCCTGGATAAATCCCAGGCAAAATACCACAAGTATACAAAACAAGCAATTTATAGTCTAATCAAATTTATTTATCCCTCTAGGCAATATGTTTTTCCTTATATCTAATTAAGTTTTTATCAATGCAGTTGAACATAAAAAAAATGTCAAGTTCCTCTTCACGGCAGTTTTTTGAGCATTTTAAATTTTAAATTTTCTTTCCCAAGTTCAATCATTCCAGCTCCTTTAATTTTTCTTCACAGAGCATGCCTTAAGTTTTTCCTTCTTTTTTTTCTGACCTATTTGGATTTCTTGACATTTTACTACTGTTTAAAAGATTATAATTTCTAGGCAAAGTACAAAGAGGCAGCATAGTAGTAAAGCATCCTTTTCTAATTATGAGGAAAAATGGTGAATCCTGTCCCTTGGAAAGGCTTGTGAGTTCATTAGATAGATGTTCTGAGGAAACTAGATTCAACACATTTGGAAGAAACTTATGAGATTGTTGTGGAGATCTTACCTTCATACCTTTATTAAATCAGAGTTAAAATTAATAAATGAAATACACTTTGAGACTATGTCTATTCCATTTATTCAATACACATTTTGCACTAAAATGAACAACATACAAAGAGAGAAAAAAGAATTCCTGTCCTTAGGGTTTTTATGATGTTCTAAAAAAAATCACAGTTCCAGGAAATTACGTATGTTCAGGGGAAAACACACAGAAATTTCAAAAATAATAGAATAAAAACTGAGTCTGTAATTTTTGGAAAAATGAAGAACAGAAGAATAATGAAAGTCAAATCAGATTATCCAAGTGCAAACTTTCTAGAATAAGCTCATTTTAAAGTGTGAAATTTTTAGAGGTTATCTAGTCTATATCCATCCCATGTGTTTCATCTCATTATGAGGAAAAAACACACTGATTTTAAAAGGCTGTGCTGATATTAAAATTATAAGTCTTGTTCATCACTGTTTTCAAGATCAATTTGGCTTTCCTCTTCCCAAATAAAAAGATTTTCATCCTCAAATATATAAAATATTTCTAATACATTTCTGTTGCTAATATTTAATGATGTCTCAACTTGGTAAAATAGGCAGGTTTGACCATTCATTTCAAAGGAGAAATGACAGTTGCTACTTTCTCTTACTACTTGGTTGAGATTTGTTAATGAGTTCTGAAATCTGCTATTTAGTAAGTTGTTATTCTCATCAACTACTTCAAAGATTTCATTTGTCTGATTGGTGGGGTCCTGTGTATTTGAATTCACATCATCCACAACCAACAATGATGTGTCCAAGAAATTCACACAAAACTTTTTATTTAAATATAATTGAAATTTCTTTAAATTATTTTCTTCCTCTAAGCTCAAAGAGTTAATTCCTTTTAATTTTCTTAATTTTCTTTTATCCAAGTCAAATGTATTATTAAAATAAAGCTGATCAAATGTATCATCAATGGTATTATCAATAAATGCTTTTCTACCACTTGCTTTATTGTTCTCATCTCTGAACATGGTTTTGTTTGACTGTAGTAAATATGGGTGTATTTTCATCCATAAATGGAGACCCAAGAAATTTTCAATATCAGAATCTTTGCAATATACAAATCCTCGGTCTTCCTCATTTATAGGTTGGATGATAACAGTTAGTATAGGGCAGTGCTGGCCACAAATAGCATAGAGCTTATCCAGAGAGTCACCTTCCTGAAGTGCACCACGAATTACATTATTACCAGGCAATGGTTGGTTTTCAATAGTATCATCAGAGACAGGATGGACTTTGTTACCAGCAGATGTAAAGACATGAGTGACTGATGTGCATACTCTTTCTGACTTATGACTAGCTTTCTCCTCTGCATGATGATCTGGTATTCCCTCCTTGGCACAAGTTTTATTTTGAACATCTAGCAAATCCTCACAAAAAGGTTCAGAGTCACTACAATGAGGCATGTTAAAATAACTGCATTTCACTTCAAGGGGTTGAGTCAGTTCCTCCAATTCTGAAGAGGATAGCTCAGCCAAATTTCCAAAATGTGAATATGGTACCTCATTGCTGTTATTAAGTAGAGTATCCACTGATGTGGTATCTGCATTGCCATATAAGCCAGAATTTTCAGGAGATGATACTCTTAACAAATGATTTTCTTTCAGGAGCCACTTTCCTTTATCAATCAGTACTCCTTCCTCTGTGTTTCTAACGATTCTGTTACAATCATTATGTTTTGTACTATGTCCTACAATGTCTCCCCCATGATAACCGGACCTCACATCATTAAAGTCACATTTATCTTGACCTTCTGGAAATTTCTGCAACATAGATGAACTACTAGATACCTGTTCAGAAGACCCAAATGACTGACCTTCAGAATCATAAAGACCTACTTTCCTCGCACACTGAAACTCCACAGAATTGTAAGGATAAACCTGAGATCTATGTACAGACCCAGAAAAAAAAGATGGTTTAATTTCTCCTTTACCGTAAAGTTTTTCTATTGTCCTTTTAACAAATCCTTTATTGTATTCTTTCTCTTGGGCAATCTCCTCACAACTGCCATTGGGGCCATCACTGGATGTTTTATATGGCTGCTCATTCTCACTGTCTAGTCTAAATTCTGACCAATCAGAAATCACTGGTCTTGTGAAACTATTTTTAAAATCAAGAGAGGACTCTGAAAAACTTCCAATTTCCATGTGTTTCACCATCATTTTTACTCTCATTTTAGTTTCTCCTTCATTGAGTTCCTTTTCAGTATTTTGCTTAGAATCATAGCAAAACACTAAAGATGGTGGTATTGCCAGCCTCCTACTGATTGCCTCACAAATTACACCATTTCTTTTTTCTTCTTCTGTAATGTTCCTGCTGGAGACTTCTATCAATTCCAAATTTTTACTGGTCTCTAACTCTTTTTGGATCAATTCTTCAGTGGCCTGCTCTCCTGCATTTACCTTTGTATGAAAGATATCAGTGTCCCGGTTTTCTAATTCTTCAAAAGATTCCAATTCTGAAATGTTTCTTTCACTTGATGTCAAGCTATCGGTTACTGAGTCTGGTTCTTCAGAAGTCTTTGAGTCTTCCTTATCAGAGGATGTAGATACATTTTTACCCTGAAATTTCTTTAATGAACAATTTTTAAATTCAGTTACAGAACTATGTCCCTTATCAATTTCTGGTTCAGTTTCATTGATGGTAAAGCCACAGTGGCTTAAATTGCTGGTATGTTGGGGTGACACCAATATATTAAAGCCATGTTTACACCCAGGGTCTGCCAAAATATTTAGGTCTTTCTGAACTTCATCATTCCTTTCTAATTCTTCAGTCAATTCCAAATTATCAGCACATGTGTTTTCTTTGGAATTTAAAAAGTCACTGGTATTGCAGACTTTGTTGGGAATGTAGGTCTCATCAACTGGGCAAGTTGCCTCATAACTAGGGTTTTCATCAGGAGCACAAGCCTTATGGGAAGACAGAACATCAGTAAGTGAACAGACCTCTCCTAGGAAACAAGCCTTATTCATGGAGGTCTGATCAATGGTAGAGCCATCACTAGGGGAAAAAATGTCACTGAGGTTACAAGTCTCTTTTGGAGGATAGGTCTTATTCACAGTGCACACCTGACATGAAGAAGAAGTCAACTCTGAAACACAGACTTCAGGACCACAGTCCTCACTGGCAGAGTAGCCTCCATCCAAAAAGGAGATTTTCTGTGTTTTTTCATTTTCAATGCACTTAGGAACTCTCTGAGTGTTGGGTGTGGAACAATTTGCAGAAAGTCCTCTTGGAACCATGTCTTGTTCTTTCTCAGTGAGTCCAAAATGATTTGTGGTTGATTCCACTAAATTGGCAACAGCAGCCTTCAAATCATCAGCTTCCTCGGTGATGGCAGTATGCTTTAGAACCTCCAATAATCCAAGTATTTCTGAAGCTCTGTTGGTAGTCTTGTGAGCATCACCTTGGCAGAAGCTATTTATACTTCCCTTTAAGCTTAGCACCAGAAGCCAAGCTAGAAGGACATTAGTATATGACTTACATATTGGGGAAGGGAAGGGAACATCTGCAAGTGAACCTGGCATTTGAATAAGTCCATTCTGAGTCTTATGAATACTAGGAACTAAAGCTTGCAGTTGGTGAAGCAGCAAGACTGGTAAAAGGTCTTTTGGAGTGTTTTCTTCCATAAGATCTACTTGAATAGCAGCCTCTACACTGTGCCTTTTTGTAGCTAGATTTATTTCTTGGTAAATAAGGCTTACCTCTGGTCCTAATTTTTCAGCACATACCTGGATTTTAGTATTATGATCATCGATAGATGACTGTGACAAAGCACAATTTTCATGCAAGGGAAGCAAGCAAGCATCATTCAGAGATTCAACTTGATTCTCACAGAGATCTTTAGAAAGTTCTTGACTGTTATCTTTGTTAAAAGATTTACCTGCCTTTTTGTCTAGATTTTCTGTCGAACTGGCACTTTTAGTTATGTGTTTATTACTTTCCCTAACAAAATTATTTCCTTTTCCAGAACTTGTGTGGGAATTAGTTCCTGCAAAACCACTGTTGTTACAACTTACCACACTCCTTTCTTTTTTGTATATTGGAGCTGATTTTCTAGGTTGCAGAGCTGAATGCGGTTTTATGCTCTGCAACCATCTCTGTATATAATTTTGAGCTGAATGATGGCTAATATCCTCAGGAAAAACAGCTTTTTTCAAAGAAGCTAAGGAATTTGCCCTGGTTGTAACATGTTGTTTACTTACAATAGTACTTAATTTCAACTTATCCCCTTTGTGTTTTTTCTGAGTTTTTAAAGTTATGTGTGAATTATTAACTTTTGAAACTAAACTTTTCTTGGTCATTCCTCTTGAATACCAAGATGCTATTTCTGCTTGAGCCTGTGGTCCACAAAAAGCACTGAGTTTTTGCTCAAGGAAGTTAAAAACATGAAATAAATTTTGATCTTCAAAATTATTTTTGTAACACCTAAAGTCATTATGGGGAAATACTTTATTGTCTTGACCAATTTCTCTTTTTGTAGGTCCTCCTAAACTTACTGGTCTGGACTTCCTTTTGGCTAAAAGTCCTTGAAACTTCTTAGGATTCTGAAGAGTATTTAACTTATTTACATGCAAATTCTTGGAATTCATGGGATTGATATTACTTTTGGAACAACAATAATTTGATTCAATCACCATATCACTTACATGGAGGTCTTCCTCACAAAGTATTCCTCCTTTAAGGGAACTGTCTGAATCTTCCAATATGACTTCCTGTGCAATTCTACCTCCTGTGTTTATTCTCTTACTCTTACTAAGAATTCCTTTGGTTGCAATCTTCCCATCCTGATACCTGGAATTTATCATTTGTTGCTGAGATTTCATCTTCTTTTTGCTGGCAACAGATGATGAAATCTGCTTTTCATTTGCTGGAAATTTTGTTAAACCACACTGAGCAAATTCATTACTTAGTCTGTCAATTCTTGTGGTGACAGTGGAAGACCCTATTGAAGCTGGGGTCTCAGAAATAGCTCTGTCAGCTCCAGAGTTGTTACTTAAAGAATGAGTTGTATCTGCCAAAATAGGACTGAATCTATCACTGGTGTCACCACAAGGTCTTAAGTTTTTGATACTAGTTTTGTTGTCTGACCTTCCACTATCAACTATACCTTCCTCCACAGTTGAGTTTTCTAATATAGTCTGTGGTAAGCCATTATTATGAGACATCTCTAACATCTTCTGACTTGTAATTTCTACAACACCAGCATGTATTGCACCTGACTTGAACAGCCTGCTTTCCTTTTTTCTTTCTAAAGATGACTCCATCTGCTCATTGTTATTGATCTGAACAAGCACTGGTTTGTTAGATACTGATGACATTTTACTGCAAGAATGTGTGAACATATGATATTCAGATTTGTTTTCCCCATCTTCCCTCTCTTCACTAAAGATCATTTCCTCTTGAACTTCAGTTTCAGATACCAAGGTCACACTCCCTCTCACAGATTTCTTTTGTCTCACTCTTCTTGGTCCAGGTGTAGGGGGCCTATAAAAATGATGCTTTGCTTGATCCATAGTCTCCTGGATGGTGTTTGTGTCCATAGCAGCATTCTGCCTACTAGCAAAAGTGCAAGTTTCAGTCTCTTGATCTGTCATTTGAGTGTTTATGTCCTCTGCCAAACTGCCCTCTTGTTTATTGTCTTTCTCTAGAGATGAGACATCTGCAGACAATGAGCATGCTGCAATTTTTAAACCAGAAGACCGATCATCTCTTCTTCCCAGAAAACCGCCTACCTCATTCTCCTCATTGTTATGAGAAAGACTTGCTCTACTGACGGTGGTCCATTTTATGGTTTCCTCCTCTTTTATCTTAAATCGAACTTTCATCTCAACTGTCATGGTACCATCTTGATTAAAAATAATTGATTTCTCAATATCATCTTCAGAAGGATATATCAATAAATTCTGAGAATCATTTTTTTCTAAGGCCAAGTAATTTTCTGAAGCAAAAGAATGGTGTGAGTAGCAATCAATATTATGCATTTTGTCAGAAGAAACAGAATAAATCTGGGACTTTGGACTTGAAGGCACATGTGTACTCACTTTCAAGATTTTAAGAGTAAAAGACGCCCCACATCAAAATGTAGAAGACAGAGAAGTTATAAATATCCAATAGAAGAGGCAGCAAAGAAAGAAAAGAAAAATAAATAATTAGTATGAAAAATACCATATTTTCTAAATTTCATAGTAAGATATTAATATGTTTCTCACCTTTATGTATTCATTGGTTATTTGAATTCACTATGATATCTGGTACATTTCTACAAGCTACTCTCAAAAAGAAAACCTATAATCTTACTTCAATAAAAAGATTCACAGAATTTTAATTTTTGTGAGTTTAATTAGGCAATTTTAATAAGGAAAGTATCAAGAAGAAATTGCTAAGGATTCTAGCAAAAATAAAAAGATTTTTGTGGGATTTTGTTTTGTTTTTTTGTTTACTAGTACTGAAACTGGAGTCTAAGTGCTTCTTATCTATGCAAACAAAGTGAGTAATAATTTACAGTGATATTCATTTTCCTGTCTGTGCATATCTAAGAGAGACATCTACAATATTATGAAAGTTAAAACATTTTTAGAATTTACTTAGAAGTCAACATTAATCAAGTAATAATTATTACTTTAGCATTCACTTTGTATAATTAGTACATTTGATTTAATATAGGGCACAAAAGAGAACAGAGCTAGACAATAGACCAACATATCTAGTTATATTTTTATTGTCTGTCTCTAAAGATAACTTTAGTACTCTAGCTTCTTAATCTCAAATTCTAATTAGTAGTTTGTATAGATTTATTTATTTTTTTTTTAAAGATTTTATTTATTTATTATTTGAGACAGAGAGAATGAGAGACAGAGAGCATGAGAGGGAGGAGGGTCAGAGGGAGAAGCAGACTCCCTGCCGAGCAGGGAGCCCGACGCGGGACTCGATCCTGGGACTCCAGGATCATGACCTGAGCCGAAGGCAGTCGCTTAACCAACTGAGCCACCCAGGCGCCCCTAGTTTGTATAGATTTATATATACTTCGCATCAATTAAACACCTTCAACATTTCAGAGTATAAACCCGGAAATATTTTCTCTTATTTTTGGTATGCATTTACCAAAATTACAAACGAAAAGGCCTCACTTAAAATTTTTTAAAGTAAAATTTAATAAAGCCCTCAGATTCCCTAACTCCATCAAAAATCATATTCACAACCCATATCACACAAAATAATAAAATCATTTTAGTAAAATGAGCACAGTGAAACAGTACTACTATGTGCTTAACAGATATTTGGCAGCTAATGCCTACAAAGTAGAAACATTAATAGATATCTATTGAGTATATCAATAGTAGATGAGTTTCACCCACTTTAGCAATAAGTAGAGGGATTAATACTACTTAAAGGGTTTATTATTCCACGTCTAAATAAAAACCAAAATTTAAGTGTAAGTGGCAATCAATTCCTTAGCATAGAGCTAAAACACTGTGCACAAAGAATAATGAGATTAAAATACTGAGCACAATGAATAATACAATTAACCATGCCTGCAGAGAGAATTTATAGCGCATCCTATAATCTTGGGCATCAATAGCCCTCCTTCTCCCCTACCCAAAGGATTATGCTATATTGTGCAGCATTTCCTAAGGAATTATCAACCTACATTATTATTAACCAGCATGAACTGACTACATGAACTTTTTTAATAATAAAAAAAAAGGATTCAAGGGCTGTGATTTTTACTGGAATAACTTCAGAAGGTACAGTTCATATGTACTTAAGAGATTTTTAAAAGCACAGTCATTCAACTAACCTGCTGAGCTCAGCTACGATCCTGCATGGTACTATTTGGAGAAAACTTTATAACTACCAGATGCCACTTATACAAATTCCATAGAATTCCTCTCCAAATCAAGAAATGCTGGTATTTTTATTTTTTATCTAGGTATTATATGCCCCCCCACACACACACAAATAAAGGCTTACCCCCTCAATTTAATCATTGATTGATTTGAAAAAATCTAAAAAAAAAAAAAAAAATACAATCTCTATGACTCCAACTATACATAAACCAATTCCAGTTTAGAATGTTTTTGATCCCCTCATTTTTTCTCATGTGACAAAGGAAATTGGCCATTTTAAGCATGGATTGATTTTTTTTTTTTTTCTTTGAATGTTGTGGTTAAAAGAAAAAAACCACAACTCAGGGCTAAAAATAAGAGCTACATATTTAAGGGACTTACTCTTTCTGCTTTCTGACCTAGCACTTCCCTTGGTGTATACATGATGAGAGATCCCTGGTAATCTTGCAGAAAGCAAGTACTTCTGGATGTCATAATTTCCTGGTTTAAATGGCTCCCTTCCTGCTGCCACCACAGCTCCAGAGCTGAGGATCACGGCCTGCAGACTGGGAACCTAGAAGAAACCAAAGAGTTAAGGTCCTTACATGAGCAACATGAAGTTTTTGTTCTTTCCATATGATAATTTTTTCAAGATTTTATTATTATTTTTTAAATAATCTCTATACCCAACGTGGGGCTTTGAACTCACAACCCCGATATCAAGAGTCAGGTGGACTCAGTCAGCCAAGCGGCCCCTTTCCATATATTAATTTTGTAGTGGGTGGAATCAACTCAGGCCTTGAAAGGGATAATCACCAAGTGTTCATTAGGCATCAATAATGTATACAAAGTTACCAAGTATCAAGGTGGGGGTGGCTAGACCAACATCTTTATTCAACCTGTATACTACCTGAAGAGAGATCAGTCTTCTGCCATAACTAAAGAAATCTTTAAAAGGTATGCAGTCCTGCCTCTGCCTTCCCCACCAAAATATCCAGCTGTAGCCAAACGTCTATCCTGAGCCAGCTGAGAAAGGGCCTGGTGGACACGCTGACAGCTGCTGGGGAAGCTCTCCCCTGTTCCCTCACCCACCCCCCAGGATGGATGGCAGAAAAAAATGCTTTCGCTACCTAACAATATCACTCTTGGCCATGGCTTTTCAAGAAATATTGTCGCGATTGCATTCTGTGCCAACAGATTATACAACTCAGTGCTCAAGGAAGGCAAAACGGGGGAGGGAGTGTGAGATTAAAAAGAGCCCCTCTTGGCAGTGGCTTCTTCAGATTCTGACCAGAGGACAGTGGGGCCACGCACCCAGGTGACCCAGCGCCCTCCCACGAGGGTAGGAATACACACACACACACACACACACACACGCACGCACGCGAAGCCTTCCTTTCTCTGGCGCCTCCATCCATGTCCCACACGTCGCAAGCTCAGACGTGAGAAACCCCCGGAACACTCACCTTCCTTCCGTCCGTCGCGTACAGCTTGGTCACCGGGAACCGCATAACCTCCGTCAGGTGTTGCAGAAAGGCCTGGAAGCTCTGTGCAACCCTTCTGTTCATAACCACCATACGCCTCATCTTCGGGTCGCCATTTCTAAAGACCAAGAGCCTTCGCGGGGCGCGCAGCATGCCGGGAGCGGCAGCGGGAGCTGCGCCAGTTGGAGGGGAGTACTGCGCCTGCACAGTGATGGCCCGGCTGCTGTGCCAGGGTCGTGGGCGCCGGCGGGCTTTGTCAAGATCCACTGGCTGCACCTTCCTGCGGTGGGAGCACAGGTACGACTCGCCGTCCTCTAGCTCCTCCAGGCGTGTGATGCTGTGTCTTCCCCGAGGGGTGCTGATGTTCCTCACCCCAAAAGGTAAGGGCACCTTCCTTGACAAATTATCCAGCAAAGCATCAAATGTCTTGAAGGAACGAGGGTTGACCACCACCCTGACCCCACCAAATTGCGGGTCTCCGCTCTTGTAGAAGCTGATCTTTTTGGCCACAACAGGATGCATGACGCTCAGGTGGCGATGGGAAGGAACTTGACCTTCAGAAGAAGTCCGATGAATCATGGAAAAACTAGTGGAAGAAGTTTCGCTCATTTTGGCTGAGAACTAGAGGGGGAAAAATTATTCATCTCCACAATGACAGCACCATAAAGAATACATGATAATGCAACTGCAATCTAATTACACTTGTAGATATCTAGGCTATTCCTAGCATTTCATTCATTCATTTATTCATTTGTTATCCTTGCCTATTTTGAATGATAATTGTAAGGGGTTTACAATAAAAAGACATAAGTGAAACAAATAAGGATATTTATAAGTCAAAATTAAAAACAATCTAAAGACATGAACAAAGGTGTCCTTAAATAAATTATATTGTATACACCCATGCACTGGGAAGCTATGTAACCATTAAACATGACATTGTAAGTCTGTATTTATTGGAATAGAAAAATGATCATAATCTATTACTAAGTGAAAAGGCAATTTATAAAATACGTATGTCATGCCATTGCCAGTATATATATATACTAGTGGGAAAAAAATCCAAAAGTATATATAGCCCTAATGTTGATGGTAATTATCATTGAGTGGCAAAGCTATGGATAAATATTTGTTTCTTATACATTGCTAAATTTTGTGAATCTTGAAAATTAATAGGTATTTTTGAACAATTAAAAAATAACAAAAGAGGGGCGCCTGAGTGGCTCAGTCGTTAAGCATCTGCCTTTGGCTCAGGTCATGATCCCGAGGTCCTGGGATCGAGCCCCGCATCGGCTCCCTGCTCAGCAGGAAGCCTGCTTCTCCCTCCCCCACTCTGCCTGCTTGTGTTCCCTCTCTCACTGTGTCTCTCTCTGTCAAATAAATAAATAAAATCTTTAAAAAAAATAATAACAAAAGAGACACACATCAAAAGCCATCCAATGAGAAAAATTAGAGTTTTGCAATTGATCCATTTAGTTCTGCATGTCCTGGCAGTCAAGGAAAAAGGGTAGAACCAAATGAGTTCATCTGGAGTAAAATGTTTCCTGACATTAAATTCTAGAAGGAATGTATCATGTAAATCCTTAAATAGGGGCCTTATTAAGATAATGTGAAATGTTTCCATTACAGATTATAAAAAATGCACTTAAATTCTCTAATGCACCATTAATCCTACTTTGGGAAACACTCACTGCATTAGACAAATATTTTGAATGAATGACAGCATTGCTATGAACTACTAAAAATGGAGGTACTGCTCCCATTAGTGGTTCTAAAATTAACCACTGGGAGGGAATTTAAGAGCCATTTTCAGCCAGTGACTGAGGTTTTTCTCTTCTACTTTCTAAGTGAAGCCAGAGTCTGACTGACAAGTGAGCAGCTCATAGAAGGGTTTATCTGGTTCTGTGTTCACTTCTCATTTGTAGCATACTGTAACTATTCTCTACTATTTTAAGTCAATGTAATTATTCGTGTCTTTTGACAGAGTATGAATGCCCTACAGCCCTGAAGACAAATTGAACAAACTAAATAAAAGTGATCAGTATTATAGAAATGAAAAAGGCATGTTTGTCATTATAAATCAGCTATAAGTTTGGCCCAAATCATCTACTTAAATGTTTGCAAACTGTTGTCTAAGATTCTTCATATATCTCCAATATGATTTGCAAATTTTTTATGTATAATTTAGGAAAATACATTCAGAGATCAGCCTAGAAGTTAGATTTCTCCCCTACTCCCCTCTCCAAGCAGTTTAAAGTAATTATAGTACTTAAGACAATAAAGGCAGCTGTAGCAGGTTTGTGCTTCAGGAGCTGGGAATCCACCTTTGCAATGGAGTCAGCAAAACTGCACCTCTTCTTATCCTCAGCTGATAAACTGTGGTCTGACCTTGAGCATGCTGCTTAATCTCCATGCCCTCACTAACTATAAGAGGGATGAATTTTTTCAGTATTTAATAAAAACTTCAGAACTCTTTGCCTCCAAGTACTTTTTAGGTTGGTTTACTTACATTTTTCACCTAATTTGGGGAACTTTTATTTATCTATATGTAAATGCATAATGAGGCTTTTATTTTTTTATTTTTTTAAGATTTTATTTATTTGTCTATTTATTTGAGAGAGAGAGAGCATGAGAGAGAGAGAGCACGAGCAGGGGGGAGAGGCAGAAGCAGAGGGAGAAGCAGACTCCCCGCTGAGCGGGGAGCCTGATGTGGGACTCGATCCCAGCATCCTGGGATCATGAGCTGAAGGCAGACACTTAACCGACTGAGCCATCCAGGTGCCCGAAAGTGAGGCCTTTAATTACGATAGTCTTCTGCCTGGATCTCACTATATGGAGAGCCAATGACCTGGTGATAAGTTAAGACACAGTTACCTAAGCTGATAGCCTAAGAGGTTTGTTTTGGGGTGGTTTTTTTTTTTCCCTCAAATAAAAGAATGGACATTTTGTGCTAGGACCAGGAAGGAAAACATAGAAGATAAGGACAATTGGAGGGAAGATGTGGCCCCCGTGTGCTATCCTACTGCTGCCCAATCCTGAACTGAAGGTACCATGTCCTAGGAAGATGCCATATGCCCAGCGGTGGAGGAGCATTTATAGAGAAAGAACCTATAGGATGGTTGCCAGGCTCCTTGAGGAGGAGGCTGTAGCAAGAACAAAACAACATAAGTTCATATAGTCCTCACTGCAGGTAAGAGGATCTCTGGAAATGTATAACATCATTGGGGAAAGTTTTAGAGTATCGAGATTTTGTATACATGCAAGTGAGGTTTAAGAGTCTATGGTAAGATGGGCATTTTGTATGTAATACAGAACATGATGAAGATTCAGTATTATCATTGAATAAAAGGATCTATGTGCATACAGTACACAATATCATTATTGGGGAAGAAAGTGCAAGCCAGATTCCTTCCAGAAGAAATGTTTCAACTTTGCCTTGATATAATCCATATGTATCTCCTACAATTTCTATGGGAAATTCGCCGAGAAATTCAATAGCACAGTTAAGGAAGAGTAGGGGTGTCATGAGAATATCAAAGAAGGATCTATAGCCCAGCCTGAGGGATTGGCACTGAGGGTAGGTAGAAATGGCAGTTTCCACAGGAGAGCTTGTGTGAAGCTGAGATGCCAGAGGCAGAATGGTAAAGATGCCCTCCAGAAAGAAGGCAGGGATTCGTGCAGCTTCTGCCAAAGACATGAGCAAGACCAGCGACATGGTCAGTGAGTCTGGACAGTAGAGTGTACCTTTTTGTGAAACAGAGCTACCAGCCCTTCACAACTTTTAGTTACCTCGTCTTACTTGTACACTCTTCTTTCTTTTTTTTTTTTTTT